TGGTTGGATTTGTGGCCACGGTGTACCAGAAGACATTGTCAGCGACCGCGACACTCGTTTCATGTCGGCGTTTTGGACTGCTCTCATGCAGGAGTTCGACACAACAATGAAACCAAGTTCGGCTCGACATCCTCAGACAGACACGTCCGGACCAGAAAGATTGGGTTGACCGCCTCCCCGACATCGAGTTCGCCTGCAACACTTCGGTGCATCCGACGATCGGCGTGAGTCCATTCGAGTTGCACCACGGTGGACGGAAAGGCCGGATTTTCGCCGACCTTCTCCTCTCTCGACCAACCGACATTGACGCTGCCTGCTCTCCCGCTTCCGTCCGAAAGTACAGGGAATTGCTAACTCAAGCCCGCGCAAATATGCAAAAGGCTCAAGTCCGCATGCAGCAGCAAGCCAACAGGGGTCGTGTACCATGTCCCATCCGCGCCGGTGATCTGGTTTGGGTCTCCGCGGAAGAGTTTGCACTAGAACAGGATGTTTCACGCAAACTGCTTACCAAGTGGTTTGGACCTTGGTCTGTGACAGCAGCCGCGGGCGATGAGCCCGATGACCCTTCATTTGTGATCAACATTCCAGAGCATCTGACGGTCCATCCGGTCTTCCACACCTCAAAGTTGGCAACATACACGCTAGCCAAGAGCGACGACTTTCCGGACCGACGATCGCAGGACTCTCCTTCTATGGATGGCCATCAGGAAGTTGACCGCGTCATCTCCGATCGCAAGTACGACAGCAAGCCGCGGCAATACAAAGTCACATTCAAAGCATGCGATTGCGACGACACTTGGTGGATTTCAGGCGCAGATTTCAAAGCATCCGCACCGCTGATCTACGCGCATTATGAAAAGTGGAGGTAAGCTCAGGAAGCTTCTCGACCAGCCCCTCCCACCCGGACTGTGGTCCCTCCCTCAGACAGACAGCTTCGCCCTCGCAGGTAAGCTCGGTTCTTCAAGGAGGGGGGGGTGTGGCATACTACGTAGCCACGCGGGCCCTGCAGGGCCCGTCCCGGACATTCAGCCTAAAAGCCTAAAACTTAGGGCTTACAAGCCCCGTTCGTTTCAGCCTGGATGCTGAAAAACGAGGGCCTGCTGGCCCTACCTCGTTTCAGCCTATTTCTGGGTCTTTTCAGACCCAGAGTTTTCAGCCTGAAACGGAGGGCCATTTTCAGGCCCTCATTGTTTCGACCTGCCCCTAAGACTCAGGCACGTAAACAGGGATGCGGAAACAGGCCAGAAATAGCCTGTTCCTCACGAGTTTGAGCAGGAGCTGCAGCTGCAGCCCCTGCCTCCCTTCGGCAGGCTCAGGAGGCACACCCGTAGTACATAGGAAGTCCCATGCACTTCACGGGTAGGTAGTTCAGTAGGCACGAGGTAGTCTTCAGGATCGGCCGCAACACTCAGGAGGAGCGCTGCAGTAGTCTTCATCGCTAGGCAGTAGTGGTAGCACTAGCTGTAGTCTTCGGCGCTGGGCGCCATAGCTGTAGTTGTAGTCTTCAGCGCTGGGCGCTGGTAGGTTGTAGATCGTAGAGTGGGAGAGAGACTGGCGGAGGCCAGTGTTACTTACCTGTGGCGCCATCGCTCCAGCTCCATCTTCGTGGTACCTGCATCAAGGCGCCAACTCCACAGGTTAGTACTGGACACAGAGAGAGAGAGTTCTTCTTCTTCCTCTTCTAAGTCCACCTTCTCTTCTCAYCCTCTCGCCACCTGACTTCTCAAACTAGGATAGAGAGAGACAGAGTTGTGACTTGAAACTTGAAGACATTGTATCCAGACTTGACATTTGGGATTCAGACAGTTCGACGAGGGACTATTTGGGCTTGTGCCGAAGACTTGGTGTTGACGACATTCCCATCTTCCCCCTCCTCTTCGTCTATCCCCTTCCTCTTCGTCTGTGTATGGTATGGGCTGGCGCTGTCTTCCTGTGTGAAACGCCAGACCCATTCACACCTTGTAACGATGACGATGATGTATGTTCAGGGCTGCATTACAACATTGATTGTTCGGATCACTGGTATCTAAGTCTTCCGCTGTGTTATCTTGTATTTTGTATTGAAAGGTCGGTTCTTGTTCTGGTCTGCACGTTACAGTATGCAACAGTTTGGTATCGGAGCTATCTTATACTTTGTATTGAAAGGTCGGTTCTTGTTCTGGTCTGCACGTTACAGTATGCAACAGTTTGGTATCGGAGCGGACCTCTCATTCAGAGGACCCGCTCAATCAAGTAGCCAGCTTGCGATCTATTGATCACTCATTAGTAACGCAAGTAGGACTTAGTCAAAACTCTGAAAAAAAAATTCTCGCAACAACTATCTGAAATTTCTGATATTCGCATTTTCGTTCTATCTAAAAATTTCTGATATTAGTAGTTCGTTTTTACGTGACAAATATCTGAAAATTTTTGATAAATCGCATTTCGTTTAGTCTGAAAATTCCCGATAGTAGCAATTCGTTTCTCTGATATTTCGCATACATAGCAGAAATTTCTGAAGTTAGTATCTTCGTTCTCTAGGCATATTGGGATAATGATAGAAGTGGTCATATTCTCGGAAATTGAAATTATTCTTTTCTGAAAATCGCATTTCCATTTTATCTCGCAATTTTTTTTTTGAAAACCGTATCTTGCGAAGCCTACCAATATTGCGTTAGGCATATTCGGAGGTTGCATATTCTCAGAAACCGGATTTCGTTCTTTTCTGAAAATCGCATCTTTACTCCATTTCGCAAATTTTTTTTGTCAAGATCGCAGGTCGTAAAAGCCGAAACTTTGCGGAACCTACCCTAGATCTCGTTCATTATACTCTTCTGACATATCCTACTCATCATAGATCGACAGATATATAC